GTTTTCTCAATTAGAACTCCGAGAATTTCCTCACAAAGTTGATGATAATTTCAAATGTGTAAAATCTCAAATCTCCAAAAGTCTGCCCGAAAATTATTGTGTCGGGGATGTTTGATCCCCGAAATTCGCTTGATAAATGACTTATTTTGGATTTTACGTTTTCGAGCATGAGCTGATCAGTTGACCTTCAGATTTCATTTCCCACCAGCAAAATCCATGGCTCTCGCTGGCTGCTGTGTATTTTAGTGTGCTATTTTAGTAACTGTCCCAAGGACGTTTCTATGGTGTATAAATAAACGAGAGTTGTGTGCTTGATTGTATTGTACTTGCTGGGTGTTTGTAGATTATACGCTTTATACGCTTATCAAGACTTCTGTTTTACAGTTTGGGATTTAAGGTAGCCTACCTGGACGCTGGTTCAGTGTCTCGTTCGCGGTTATCGACTAAGGTAAACTCGTAATAGCTTCAAGCATACTTAGTGACGAACCCTACATATTGAATTTTGTTCAGTGTAGATTTTTGAAATTGTATTACACTTTTTTCTTCCAGTTAATTTATTCAATGAAAATATTAATTATCTTTTTTTTTCTATTCTTTTTCTTCATATACTACTAATTAGTTTTTCTAATTTAATCGAAAGTATTTTTTTTTTAATGCGAATATATATATACATATATACATAATAACAACAAGTAAACTGTCTACTGACTCAGTCTGACTAGAGTTTGTCTAAACTATGCTTCTTACACTATTTTTCGTCGACTATAAAGAAAATCATTGTCTATCATAAGATCACAGTGCAATCTTTGCCATTATTCTTCTCATTTATTCATTTGTTTACTCGCATATCATATTGGTCGAGTGTCATTTATTTCATTTGAATTACGGGTACATTCGGTTTCTTTAATTTTTTTTTCTTTTATCCATTTTAGGTGGTTTAATTGTACCATGTGGTGCTTTAGGTATTTTAGTCGGTGGTCTTATTCTTAATAGATTTCAATTTCATCGTATAGGTGAGTAAGTCGGTTCATAATTTGGTTTCTATTTCTTAGTGGTTTATAATATATATGTATATATTATATTTTAAATGTGATTCATTTATTTGTATATATTACATTCTGTTTTTTGGAATCGGGTACGGAGTAGGTTAGAAAAACGCTAGGGACGGCCAGACCAAAACATGGAAGAAATCCATGAAGTCACTGACAAGTGGACTGATTCATGTTGGTGGTAGATGTAGGCTGCCTGGTTGGGGTCCGCGAGACGATAGTCACCGATGGTTAGAGACATTGAATAATGAATGACATGGCTCAGAATCGTTTGCAATGGCGGGCGCACGTGCATCCACTGTTTGTGTGCTTTTTAATTCTAACCTTGTGAATTCCTCATCATCTCTATCTTTCTCCTTCTAAATTTATCTCACTGAATGATACTTTACGAATCATATCTTCACTCCCCAATCTTCTCCATTACTGCTAGTGCTTTTAATATCGGTATAACTGTTGGATTTGAACTGACAGTTGAGTCTCTGTGCTGATGTTGTATGGCAACCTGAACTGATGTACTTACGTACGAAGTTCTGCGTTGTATCTGTCTGTCTGTCTTTTTGGAATCTCAAAGTATTTGGTTATTTTTGTTGTGTTCTCTGGCCTGGATGGTTTCGTTGTGGAAGTTTCATGTTCATTCCGAAAAACCTCTATTCAGCGTCTACTTCATGTGATACTATCATATTTAGAGAGATGAATCGTTCTGCACTCATTAAAAATTTATCAACTGTCATCAGGAATTGATTATCCCAGGATGTGTTCATGCTTCCGTCAATTGGCTTTGAAATCTGACAGTTACAGGCGAAAGCTATTCTTCATTAATTCAGAATAACAGACATGCGTAAATTTTTATCTAAACATCCATCCGGTTTGTTTAAGCAATATTTTGTTTGTATTATTTAATGACTTCGCCATGTTTGTGATGTAGTAGTGCTCGTCCCAGTAGGTATGATCCATAGTTTGGATGGTTGCATTGTTACGTCTGTCATTGGCTAGAAAGCATTACATACTGTTGCGGTAGGTGTTATCCTGAGATCTAAACGTGATATGCACTAATTGCTCAAACTTACCTCTTGAGCGAGTAGAAAAGAGTGGAAGAAAAAGTCTATTTGAATATTCAGTCATATGCGTAAATACTCCTTCACCTTAGAAAATGAATCCATTCCTTGACCAAGGATACACATTCACATTTCTGGACATTTCTATTTGTCTTCAAGTGAACCTCTTGTTCCGAGCTTTGTTTTGTAGTGTAGGAGTAGGTTGGAAGAAAGTTAGGGGAGGCCAAACCAAAACATGACAGCAGTCCATGAAGTCACTGACAAGTGGACTGAGTCATATCGGTAGTTGTCGACTACCTGGTGGTGCTTCTTGCGACCAAGGACCTCCTGACATGTTGAAGTGATTGCCTCCTTAATCTTTTTCCAATTGTTCTCCAATGTTGCGTCCTCTCCATTGTGTAGATCCTGAAAGGCCTGGAACCTATTGGTGAGGGCTTTCTTGAATTCGTTGAGCTTTACAGTATCCCGAAGAAAGGCCGTATTAAACTTGTGTTATGTTGTCTGTCCCGTTGTCCAGTGCTTCTTTAGTTTGAGTTTCATTTTGGCGATTAGCAAATGGTGATCTGAGGCTACGTCAGCTCCTCTCTTGGTTCTCACATCTAAAAAAAGTACACACATAATTAAACCATAATCCAATAGTTGACGACTTCAGATTATGTAACTTGAAATTGCTTACATATGTATCGATCCATTTCTCAACTATTCCGGTCATCATTTGATTCAATGCACGCTACACTCTTTAGACATAGCTGTACTATTATTGTCGATGTCAATATTTCTGTTTTACTTTGCTTTTTCGTCTTTGGCTATGAATTTTATAAAGTGTCTTTCAAAAAAAAAAAGATATCCAGATTGCAGCATGTCATGACTAGATTTCTTAGATGCGTAACAAATGGACAATGAATTTCGTTGGTGTGTTTTTGCCAAAATGCAATATCTTTTAATCGTATGTTATTTACATCACGTGATATTGTTCTTATGGCATTCATTATTGATAATATTTTTTGGCTGCTTGTTATATATATATATATATATGTCAAGGTTTGCAAAGTGTAAACAGTCTTCTAATCAATAATTTTTATGAGCCTGTCCCTTGTTTTAACAACTTTTTCAACAATGATCAACAAAAAAAATAGATCTATCAAGTTGACTAGATTTGTCTAATAAAAATTGCATCACAATAATCTATTTTGCTTAACTCAGTTCTTTGGAAATCTCTGTATTTAAGCCGTTCTTACTTAAAATGACGTCATCATTGTCGCCATTTGTAAGAATACACACAATTCCACTGGTTAACTAACAAGGATATAGTCTTCTTTCTAAAATCTCATAAAAAATATTCGGATTTTTCTTTAGAAATGTTTTAGTATCTGTACAAATGAATTATGTTAATGTAAGATTGTTGTCTGTTAGATGCAACTAACTTATTGACATTCAGAATAACATACAGAAGGCTCGATTGGCTTTTGCCAACCTGCGTCACTTATGGCGTAGGCGAGATATCCGTTTGCTGACTAAAGGACGAGTGTACTGCGCAGTAGTTCGCTCCGTCTTACTTTATGGCTGTGAAACATGGCCAGTGAGAGTAGAAGATATACGTAGGTTACTGGTTTTCGATCATAGGTGTCTTCGAAGCATTGCTCGTATATCCTGGGACACCTGAGTGAGCAACGCTGTTATTAGGAAACAGGTGCTAGGTAAGAATGGCAGATCAATAGATGAAGTGGTGAAACTTCATCAATTGAGGTGGTTGGGACATGTGTTGCGTGTGCCTCGTCGAGCTATGTTATGTGGTGTAGGTATAGGTTGGAAGAAAGTTAGAGGCGGCCAAACCAAAACATGGCAGAAATCTATGAAGTCATTGAAGAGTGGACTTAGCCATGTCGGTAGTTGTCGACTACCTGGTTGGGGTCCGCGAGATGATAATAATCGATGGTTAGAGACCTTAAAGGATATGGCTCAAAATCGTTCGCAATGGCACCGGTGCATTTATTCTTTGTGTTCTCTCAAATGCTAATCTTCTGGATTCTTCAACTCCTCTAGTTTTGACTTTCTAAACTTTTCTCATTTAATCCTACTTCTTGAATAATATCTTCTCATCCTAATCTCTCCGATTTCTTCTAATACCCTTACTAACTCTTCTACTATTGGATTTGAATTGACAATTACATCTCTGTGCTGATGTGGTGTGGCGACATGAACTGATGTACTTACGTACCAAGTTCTACGTTGCAACTGACTGACTGACTGACTGAATAACATACTTAAAAAGACTACAAAAACTCGACATCGAATTCACCATCCTCTTCTGTTCATCATGTCAGTGCTGTTCGATTTTTTTATGTGAAATATATATAGTGATTTGTCTGTCTGACGCAGAAGTAGGTGATGCATCTACTCGTTTTGTTCTATGAAATTCGAATCGTCTGAATTCTTCATCACTTCAGTCTTTCACTGTTTAAAGTTATTTCACTGAATGATACTTCTTGAATCATATCCACAACAGACAGACAGATAGATACAATGCAGAACTTTGTACGTAAGTACATCAGTTCAGGTTGCCATACAACATCAGCACACAGAGACGCAAGTGTCAGTTCAAATTCAAGAGTGATAGCGATAGTAGATGTATTGGCAGTAATGCAGAAGATTAGGGAGTGAAGATATGATTCGTAAAGTATCATTCAGTGAAATAAATTTAGAAGGAGAAAGATAGAGATGATGAGGAACTCAGAAGGTTAGAATTAGAGAGAACACAAAGAGTGGGTGCACCTGCGCCATTGAAAACGATTCTGAGCCATGTCGTTCAAGGTCTCTAACCATTGGTGGCTTTCGTCTTGCGGACCCCATCCAGGTAGCCTACATCTACCAACATGACTCAGTCCACTTGTCAGTGACTTCATTTATTTCTACCATGTTTTGGTCTGGCCGTCCCTAGCTTTTTTCCAACCTACTCCTACACTGCAAAACATAGCTCGTCTCGGCAGCCGTTGATTAGGCATCCGTAACATATGTCCCAATCACCTCAACTGATGAAGTTTGACTACTTCATCTATTGATATGCTATACCTACCTAGAACTCGTTTCCTAACGACAGCGTTGCTCATACGGTTGTCCCATGATACACGACAATGCTTCGGAGACACCTATAATCAGTCGAACCCTATTCTTCTGCATTACTGCTTGTACTTCTACTATCTCTACCACTATGGGATTTCAAGTAACAGTTGCGTCTCTGTGCTAATGCGGTGTGGTAAGCTGAACTTCTGTACTCATGTACGAAGTTCTACGTTATAACTGACTAACTGAAGTGGTTTTCTGAGAGACATACAGTTGGGCGCCAAATGCACATGTGTGACATCAGTCCATAAAATCATCAACTACTGGTTATATTGGGTTATTGTAACCCAATGTGGTTGACGCCGTTGTTATAAATAAATTACTAGTTAAAGGCCAGGTAACATTGTTGACTCCTTATTTTTTTTCGCTAAATTTTGACCCCCCAATATTCCTTTAGCCTATTTTCATCATCAGTATCTAGTCAATCTCATTATCATTGTTACTAAATTATTTAAATTCTATCTTTATCCATCCATATTGTTAACTTTTTCACCTTGTGCTAATTAATATATAGCATGGCTACTTGAGGTAACGTACATCTATGCAACAATCTACATTGATGTTGACAAACTGGTTATGTGGTATTGAAAAAAAAATTATATAAGAAAAATGCGTAAAATTTAAAAATTCATATTTCTAAGTTGTTTATAATTTTGTGTTTTGATCGTCACAAGGATTAAAAAGCATGCAACAACTATAAAATGCTTAATCTCTTGCAAAATCAAGAAAAATTATGCCTAGTTGGATTACCGCACAATAATTGAATTGAATTTTATGGTTTATATATAAATATATATATTAGAAGCGAGTTTGTTTATAAAATAATGTGCTTCTATCAAATCTGACTTGTCTAGAACAGATATGTCCCTCCGCCCGCTTGGTTAATAATCGGTATTGGACAAAGTAGATATATATTGGATTATTGCATATCTAAAGAGATTTTCTTATGAAATCATAATAAGATGGGTTTTCTAAATTAAACACACACATAAAGACATAAATGTATTCCAAACCCAATTCCCTTTCGGTTACTTTTTCAAAAAATACAAGTTTATTATCATTGGACCAACTTGACTATTATAGGTTTACTGATCCTTCGAAATCATAGGTAACTTGTAAACACTGATTGACTCATTTGATATAATATGCATTAATATTGTATTTGTATCTATCTAGTATCCCAACCTTGGCTGCTACGTTGACGTGGTGTTTGGGGCTTGCCTATCGTGATGACTCAATCGAGCTATATTGGCTGGAACTTATGTCCCTATAGGTTCCACCATGCCAGGCAGGTCGATTGGAGAACGATGAGATGTAAAAGCAGCTACTCAAGGTATGAGGGGTAAATCGTACTGCTGACTGACTGCAGAGAAGTGTGACAGCAGTAATGTGTTTCCCTCAGAAAACCAACTATGTCATTGGCATATTCTTGTTGACTTAGAATATGCCGATGACATAGTTCTACTTGGTAAAGACGCTGAAAAAAAATGCGGAGTCTTCTAACTACCCCAAGCAACAATGCAAGCATGTTTGGGATGCGATTTTCCCCCTCAAAATGGAGAATGTTGGTTCAGGATTGATTGACTTGCGTCGACACTCGAACTAGTGATAGGGAGTGAGTTAGTTGAGCGAGTCGACCGCTTCACCTATCTCAGAAGTCTCATCAGTCCTGATGTCCAGGTGTATGACGAAATCATGGCACAGATACATAAGGTTTGACAGGCTTTTGCCAACCTGCACCACTTATAGCGTAAGGGAGATATTCCTTTGCTAACTAAAGGATCAGTCTACTACACAGCAGTTCGCTTCGTCCTACTATACGCGGGTGTGAAACATGACCACTATGAATGGTGAATATTCGTAGGCTACTGGTTTTCGATCATACGTACGTTGTTCTACGTTGTAACTGACTGACCGATCTAGTGCGACTGTAATTTGATGAACAAATTAAAAATAATTATAAAAGATAATTTTCTATTTCTAGTTTGAGTTTTGGAGATTTGTGTTTCTACACATATGAAATCATTCATTGATCAAAATTAGACCACCATTAGAAACCTGGGAGCCCTGGACGGCCGTTTCGTCCTTTTATGGGACTCATCAGTGGCAGTGCGCATCCATAACTCCTGTCCCTCACAGGATTCGAACCAGGGACATTTGGTATTGTTCACGAACGCCTAACCATCGGAGTCGTGAATGTGCACTGCCACTGATGAGTAGTCCCATACCAGGACGAAACGGTTGTGTTTCAGTGCTTCCAGGTTTCTTCTAATGGTGGTCTAACAATGATTGATTGGTGATTTCAAATGTGTTATAATTTACTATGTGGTAAGCTAATTAATAAATAATAAAATAGTAAAACGTCCAACTAAAGCTGTATATATTTTCTTTAATTTGTTTATATTATCTTTGATTCGGATAATTTCTGTTTTTGTTTTGTGATTGTTGTTATTGTTACTATTATTAATGTCTTAGTGTGTGTGTGTGTGTGTGTGTGTGTGTGTGTGTGCAGTGAACACAGCATTCATTTTTTGATATCGGTTATTAACCAATTATCCAAAAGAATTAATTTATTCCCTTTTCATTTAATATTATTGTGTTTCACTCCTAATTGCTTCAGTTTTTTTATGGTTTAATAATCTCCTTTTGTAAATCATTATCTCCGCTGAAATAGTCAATATAAGCTATAACTAGTCGGTGTAAGTAGTGGATTAAAAGTAAACTACAGACTGTGAAAACAGTCTGTAGTCCATGAAGTCAGTGAATGCTATCAGAAAAAAAAATCATACATTCCGATACATTTTGACTGAAATTTAACTATCTTGACTTTGGAGTTATAGTAGTGCCCTATTGGGATGGTATTAAATAAAAGTTTCTGTTGATTGATTTAAGAAAAATAATATTGCTTGTATTAAATTATTTTTAAACGGTTATCACACTTGTACACTTAAATCTATTCATACTTTATGGTTACGAAACATGGCCAGTCAGAGTAGAAGATATTTGTAGGTTGTTGGTTTTCGATCATAGGTGTCTCCGAAGCATTGTTCGTGTATCCTGGGACAACCGAGTAAGCAATGCTGTTGTCAGGAAACAGGTATTCGGTAAGGATGGCAGTTCAATCCCTACTGTAGCTGCTACCTTGACGTGGTGGTCGGGCTTGCCTATCGTGATGATCCAACTGAGCTATAATGGCTGGAACATATATTCCTGAAGGTTCCATCATGTCAGGCAGGTCGATCGGAGAACGATGAGACTAAAAGCAGCTACTTAAGGTCTGAGGGCGTAGTCGTACTGCTGACTGAAGAGGGGTGTGACAGCAGTAAGATGTTTCCCTAGGACAACCAGCATCTGCAGCGATGCTGCCTTCTCACAAAGAAGGAAGGGTGAGAAAATGTCGACCCTAAAAATGTCACACCTCACCCTACCTCACGGATTTCCGTCTCCGGAAGTAAGGGCTGCCCAATAAATACTTCAAAAAGAGCGGATATAATACTCAAAAAACCTTTCATAAAAAGGCCGTGCGTGACCGGCCTGAAGCAGTTGTCCCTTGGACTCTGTCGTCACGCTCTCTGGTCTCTAAGACCGACACTAATCTACCTTCCTTTTCAGGCTATTCAAGAAACACCCCCTAATACCTCTCTTATCTCCACGACTAACTCTTCTCATATTCCTTTATCACGCTGCACCATTCAAGCAAACAATGCGAGTTTACGAAACGTCATTTCTGGTCTCCTGAAAACCCGCCCTAGACTGCATGTTGGAGCATTTAATGTACGGACATTGTGTCATTGTTAGAGACCCTGAATGACATGGCTCAAAACCGTTTCCGATAGCCGAGGTGCATTCATTCTTTATGTTCACTCAAATCCTCACTTCGGAGTTACTCATCACTTTATCTTCTTAAATCTATTTCACTAGATCCTACTTCCTGAATAGTATCGTCGAATCCTAAAATTTCCGATTACTGCTAATAATTCTACTACCTTTTCTTACTTTTGGGATTTGAATTTGACAATTGCATTTCTGTGTGCTAATGTGGTATGGCAACATGAACTGATGTACGTACGTACGTACGAAGTTTTACGTTGTTCATTGATTGATTGATTGAATCAAGAACAGACAATTGTGACAAATAAAGACTAGTTTTACATATCTACATAAATAAACTACTTATATCATTGACTGTTGGTTTTTTTTTTTCATTTAAATAGATTGTTTATGTATATTGTGTGTTTTTCTTCAGTTTTAAACAGTTCATTTCTGTTAATAATAATATTTATGTTTTCATCTATCTATTTATTTTGTTTCGTAGGTGCTATTCGATTTGTTCTTGTAGTGAATTTAATCATCTTAGCTTGTATATCTTCATTTTTCTTTTTGGGCTGTGAAAATCCTTCCATTGCTGGTTTAACTGTATCCTATACAGGAGAGTAAGTTATACTTGTTATATCTATCCATTATATAAGTTTTCATGATGATCAACAAGCAAGAGTTAGTTATATACACTAAGCTTAGAATGATGATTTTACTTGATATAGACAGATAGACAGATACAACACAGAATTCTCGTACGTAAGTACTACATCAGTTCAGGTTACCTACCATACCACCACACATCAGCACACAGCGACGCAACTGTTAGTTCAAATCCAAGAGTGATAATAGTGATAGTAGAAGTATTAGCAGTAATGCAGAAGATTAGGGAGCGAAGATATGATTCGAAAAGTATAATTCAGTGAGATAAATTTAGATGGAGAAAGATAGAGATGATGAGGAATTCAGATGGTTAGAATTAGAGAGAACACAAAGAGTGGATGCACCTGCTCCATTGCAAACGATTCTGAGCCATGTCATTCAAGGTCTCTAACCATCGGTGACTTTCATCTCACAGACCCTAATCAGATAGCCTACATCTACCAACATGACTCAGTCCACTTGTCAATGACTTTATGGATTTGTGACATGTTTTTGGTTTGGCCACCCCTAGCTTTCTTCCAGCCTACTTGATATTGTGCTGTTTGATAACAATCACACCATAAATCTATCCGAATTCAATGAAAACATTCACATTGCTTCTCTTCTATTTAAAATTAGTTCGTTTTGATGATATTGTTTATGAGAAGATAAACGATATATAACTTTTCTACACACGATGTTTATTCGGTCACAGTTCATAATCGATTAGATTGTCCGTCCATAAACCAATTAAATGTTAGTTTAAAGCTTCAGTTCATTTGTTCATTCATTCATTTTGTTTTTGCGTTTTTGTTGACTTCTTTTTCGAGATATTGGTTAATTTTTACAAAGCACCTTTACACTACTACTGTCACCGTATGTACATATGTACACTTGAAGGATGACGAGGATTGTTTTTTGGTGTTGTTGTTGTTTAGTATTTTATCAAGATTTTGTATCTGTATCCGAGTCATAAGTATTCTCTTCCAAGTATTTTATGGCATATATATATATATATATATATATATATATATATATATATATATATTTCTATGGTAACTGCATTGTGCACGTTGTTACATCATATGTCGCTTACCATGCATGATACCTAGTGTGGTGATTGTGGTACCATTGAACTCAGGAGTAAGCTAAAAGCTTTCTATGTAAACAAATCATATTGTTAGGACGTGTCAACTTTTAGGTTAGAAATTTACAAGATTATGAAGAAATTTGATGACCACTCGAAATCCTGTTATCTTATCCTCATTTTAAAGACTCTTTAGTTTTATGCCAAATCCAATTTAAGGCTGTTTCGTCCGGTGGTATGGGACTGGTCGGCAGTGCGCATCCACAACTCCTTTTCCTCTCAGGTCTCGGACCTAGGACCTTCGGTTTCGCGCACGAACGCCTAACCTCTGAACCACTGAAAGTGTTAATATCTAACTTCGATCATTTTACGCTATTGCGCAACCTCATACACTGTCTTCGGTGGTTACTATCTACACCCGAACAGGTTGAATTTCACTGGTCACAACTTCCCACTAGAACTTCGAGAAGATTATTTATGGAGCTAGTCACTAGTGAGCACAGTTTGAATTACATTACGGGATTGTGAAGATTAGTCAGTTCACGTTTGCAAGCAAGACCGAAATTACTTGGTTCGAATCCTACAAGGTGCAGTATTCATGGATGCACATTGTTGATAAGTCCCATACCAGGCAAGACGAAACGGCCGTCCATTTCGTCCAGGTTTTTTCTAATAGTAGTAGTGATCTGACATTGATCGATTCATGATTTCAAATATTATAAATGTCTTACAATAACTGATAAAAACTGACTGACTAAATGAAAAAATTCCTCCAACATTAGCTGTACTTGTAGTGTTTGCCTCTATTTTGTACATTTATTTGATGAGATTGATTACAATGAAATTTTTTGTTTAGTCAAATTATCTTTTGTTTTATTTGTTATTTGTTGGTGCATTTAAACAAGGATTCAAGCTTTAAAAAAAAATTATTCAATCATGTTTACTTTTAATCGAAATAGTTAAATAATCTGTATTTATCATATCATCACATTAGATATTAATTATTTATTTGTTAATTAGTGTACACATACATACATGGTCAACTGACACTACTGTGATGACCTATAACTAGGTCATTTTAAAAACTCTTTTTTTTTTGTTCAAACACATGAACATTGGATTGCATCATATAGAACAAACACAGATTACAGTTAAATGCGCATCACATATATAGTAGATAGTGTTTGTGACATGATGATGCTGTGCATATCCATTGATAGCGCTTACAATGTGTACAATTTCATCTTGAAACATATGATGAACTTATCTCTATAATATGTCATTTGTTTGTGTAAGTGATTTCTTTCTGTCCTACATTCTAAAACTAATAATAATAATAATAGATGAAGAATGATTGATGATGAATATTGAAAAGTTTCTGAGACGACAGCGTGACAAGTAAATGCGTTCATTGATTCATCATTGGTAATATAGTAAATTGAATAAAGGCTTTCAACATGTTTTCAGTGAAGAAAAATGACAAATGATAGAATAAGCCGAGTAAGGAAACTGAGGTTGTGGCAGAATTATTTATTTGAATAATTGGCTGTCAATCATCAACTTGTCATTCATTATTAAATCTTGCTTCAGTTACTCTCTGTTCAGTTGATAGAGTTTTTGACTTTCACACAATTAATGCACATGAAGATATTAATGACTTAGCATTAATTAACTGACCGTATTCCATGATAGTTAAAACTTTTTCATATGACATTTAGTTTTCAATTAAAGTTATGGAGATTAGTGTTTTTTTGCACATTGTAATCATGGGTGAGTCGTTGTTAGACCACCATTAGAAACTTACAAGCACTGAACGGCCGTTTCGTCGTGGTACAGGACACGCACACAAAACCGAAAGACCTTGTTTTGTATCCTGTGTGGTGCAGGAGCAGTGGACATTTAGTTTGTTTGAATGCTTTCAGTCTGTTGCCTGAAATATATTGCAGAATAATTTTTAGCTGAAGAAGAGGATTATATAAATGTGGCTACTAAGCTGGATGGTTTGGTCCAATTTTTGTGCATTCTTCTCATATCCTTCTCTATTTCTCCTGCGTAATGTGTTCCTTGGCCTTCCTCTTTGCCTTTTGCCTTGAGGGTTCCAAGTGAGGGCTTGTATTGTGACGCAGTTTGGTGCTTTCGTAGTGTGTGTTCTATCCACCACTTCTAGAGCTTCTTCCTGATTTCCTCCTCTACTGGAATCCGGTTTGTTCTTTCCCACTGTACGTTGTTGCTGATGATGTCTGGCCAACGAATCCGAAGTATTTTGCGTAAACAACTGTTAATAAACACTTGTATTTTCTGGATGGCGGCTTTCGTAGTTCTCCATGTTTCCGCTCCATACAGTAGAACTGTCTTTCTCATCGATGATGCTGCCCAGATATGTAAAGGTGTTAATGTCCTCCAAGGCATCTCCATCAAGAGTGATTTCGTTGGTGCATGTTGTGTTGCATCGGAGAATTTTGCTTTTTCCTTTATATATATTGAGACCTACTGCTGCTGAGGCTGATGCTACACTGGTCGTCTTCTTCTCTTGCATTTGTTGTTGCGTGTGCGATAGAAAAGTCAGGTCATCTGCGAAGTCCAGCTGCGTCCTAACTGTCCAGTTGATACCATGCTTCCCTCCAGATGTTGACGTCTTCATAATCCAGTCGATGACCAGGAGAAAGAGAAAGGGTAAGAGTAAGCAACCTTGCCTGACACCGGTCTTCACCTCGAAAGAGTTTGTTAGCTGTCCTCCGTGTACGATATCGCAGTGGAATGCATCATAAGAATTCCGTATAATGTTAACTATCTTCTCAGACACACCGTAGTGTCGAAGAAGCCTCCACAGTGTTTTCCTGTTCACGCTATCGAATACTTTCTCGTAGTCGATGAAGTTGATGTAGAGTGGTGATTTCCATTCAATTGATTGTTCCACAATGATCCGTAATGTAGCATCATCCATAGTCGGAACTAATTTTTCTCGACGCCTGATCTCGTTAGTAAGAGATTTTGCCTACGATGAATGAAGTTGCACTTTAATTTTGGTGGCCTAATATCATCTCATTGAAATTTTGCGATCCTGTGTGATTCCTTTTATCGTTTGTTTTTTTGTTTAAAGTCTCGTAAAAGAGACAACTTCTTGTAGGCTGACAACTATAATTGACCTCCGCTACTTAAATAGACTCACCCACTAGCTCCCGTCCAAATTCATGATAGATTTTTAGTAATATATATATTCGATTTACAAGAGACCTCATTATTATTATTATTATTATTATTATTATTATTATTATTATTATTATTATTATTATTATACTATAATAATATTCAGATAATTGTTTTCATTTTTATCATACATCATAACTCATGGCAAATGAGTAAGTTGTCACTTCAAAACCTACTTCATGTTGACAACAAACAACTTTAAATTTAATTTAAAAAGATTTCTTATTTATAGAAATATGTGGTATTTGATCTTTTATTTTGCTAATTAGGAAACTATTGAAGAATAAAAGTCATGATAAAAATGATAGTTTAGTCGACGAACTTACAAATCTGCAACTATTCAAGTTGGTTATGTTATATGTTAAATCATTGTTTGTTGTCTGTTGTTGTTTGTTCTGATGAGCGTTTTTTTCGGCAAGTTAGTTTTTAGTTGAGATGGGGGCGCCAACCCCTCCTCATTTATCCGGGCTTGGGATCGGTGGTAGCCCTGAATGGTCTACAGGCGGAGTTCGGGGATACTGCCGATCCCAAGCCCGGATAAAGAAGGAGGGGTTACACATGGGGTTGGTGCCCCCATCCCAACTATGAAAGTAAGTATTGTTTGTTGTTTGTTGATTGTTGATTGATGAAAGTTTTGTGTTATTGAATTCAAAAACTTGTTAATCTATAATCTAAGATTATGTAATCTAAGATTACTGTTTATTGATTTTTTTACAGTTCATCTAATTCACTTGACTTGTTGTCAACGTGTAATGCTAATTGTTCATGTGATCGAAGTGAATGGTCTCCAGTGTGTCATTTAGCTTCCGATATCACATACACTTCACCTTGTCAAGCTGGTTGTCAAGAAAGATTTGTATTAAATAATTCTATACAAGAGGTATTCTTATATTTCAGTTATTATTATCATTTTTATTATTTCAGTTTCTTTTTTGACAACATAAATTTATGATAAATTATTTAATTTAATTTAATTTTAATTAATAAATTTATTATTCTTATTAACTAGACGTAACAAAAGCTGACTGATTGAAATTTGTCATAAGTTTGACTTTCAGAGAATACTACAGTATGCCTAACCACCGAACGCCTCGAAGAGTTTTGTTTTGTAGTGTAGAAGTAGGTTGGAAGAAAGTTAGGGGAGGCCAAACCAAAACATGGCAGCACTACATGAAGTCATTGACAAGTGGACTGAGTCATGTCGGCAGTTGTCGACTACCTGGTTGGGGTCCGCGAGGTGATAATAATCGATGGTTAGAGACCTCGAATGACATGGCTCAAAACCGTTTGCAGTGGCGCCGGTGCATTTATTCTCTGTGTTCTCTCAAATCCTAAATCTTCTGGATTCCTCAACCCCTCTAGTTTTGAATTTCTAAACTTTTCTCACTGAACCATATTTCTTGAATATCTTCTAATCCTTACCTCTCCGATTACTTCTAATTCCCTTACTACCTCTACTACTATTGGATTTGAATTGACAATTACATCTCTGTGCTGATAAGGTATGGCAACATGAACTGATGTACTTACGTACGAAGTTCTACGTTGTATCTGACTCTGACTGAGTATGATTGACAATTTCTTTATAATATCATAGATACTATTTACAATAATATAGCCCCCCCATATATATGTGGTAGGTTTCTACACATATGTGTGTAAAAAAATATCAGAATACTAATCTGTATCGATTCAACTGGATAATTCTTTCACCGTATATCAATAAGTTTACAAATTGATTGAGTGACTTGAATCTGCGTGTATCTGTTATCTGTTGTCAAGTTATTGTATTCAAATCAAATAATACTGCAACATCCTGGAGCAATTATGTATGACTTGTTGAAGTACAGAGGAATCATCAGCTGAGATCTATTAGATAAAACTACTTTCAACTTCCGGGCTCTACTTATAACTGTTTGAAATAATCTGCTAAGCTAGTTTATAATAAATATCGTCTTTTTACTTTTGTCAGTATCTTACTAGTACTTTTCATCTGTGACCTTCTTCACTAGTTTCCTAGAATAAGATGCGAGGAAATATGTGCCTACACTATAGCATGATCTTAATCTAGGTATGTGTTCCTATTGAACCTCCAGCGTTGGCCAATAGCAGCAGTATGGTACGTTTTTCCCCTTCATCAAGTCTATGTTAAGTGACTGCCAAATCAGACAGTCTCTCTATGATTAAAATTGGTGCTTACTAAAAATAAGCATTATATACAGAAGACAGTCATTTTGATTTATACTTCAATACTGGATCTCTAGAATACTCACCCACGTTAGTCTTTAAAATCACTGTCATCATTACTGTTAGAAGTGTGTTCATAGTATTTCAGTTGAATTTTAATCAGACATTGCATAATTTGGGGCAATGAAACAACGGCATTTTACTCTAGCTTATCAAGTTCTTACTACACTGCTTCAAGACTGGGTTGCATCGGCACCTGAACTAGTGATAGGTAGTGAAGTAATCAAACGTGTTGATCACTTCACTTATCTGGAGAGTCTCATCAGTGCTGATAGCCTGGTGACTAACGAAATCTCAGCTCAGATACAGAAGGCTCGATTTGCTTTTGCCAACCTGCGTCACTTATGGCGTAGACGTGATATCCGTTCGCTAACAAAAGGACGAGTGTACTGCACAACAGTTCGCTCTGTTCTCCTATATGGGTGTGAAACGTGGCCGTTCATAGTTGAAGATGTTCGTAGGTTACTAGTATTCGATCATAGATGTTTAAGAAGCATTGCTCGTATATCCTGGGACAACCAAGTAAGCAATGGTATCGTTAGGAAACGAGTTCTAGGTACGGACGGCAGATCAATAGAGGAAGTAGTGAAACTTCATCAGTTGAGGTGGTTGGGACATGTGTTACGTATGTCTAACCACCGACTGCTGCGACCAGCTATGTTTTGTGGTGTAGGAGTAGATTGGAAGAAGGTTAGTGGTGGTCTATCATTGATCGATTCATGGTTTCAAAAAAGTTAGTCAATCCCCAATTTGATTATTACCTGAGTATTTAATCAAAAAAAAAGTATATTGAAATCGCATATTTCATCAATAAAGCGTAAGTAGGAATAATCAAATTTTGTAACACAGCTGTTCTGAATATTTATTCCATTTTTTTCATTGATATTAGAAAAAAAATGTTAAAGTGATCCAAAGCGATCTAAATATCGGATCGATTAATGGTCGTTACTTGTTAAGTAACGTGCAAGGAAAACAATATTAGGAGGTCACATACACCACGTGTGTGTGTATAATTTAAAAACTGAATTCTAAAGTCTCACAATAAAAAATCACTATGATTTCGTTTGTGTGTATTATTTATTTTCCAAGAAAAAGGAACATTGAATTTCTGCTGATTGAAATCAAGAATTATTGACTACAGTGCTAGAGTTATTTTGTTGTATCGTGTCAGTCAGTTGAAATGTTGAAATGTCAGAACTTGGTACATATGTGTACTTTAGTTAAAATTTCTATACCACATTGTCAAGTCAAATCACAGAGTAGTATATAGGTAGGTAGTCAGTCAGTCAGTCAGATGCAACGTAGAATTTTATACGTAAGTACATCAGTTCATGTTGCCATACCTTATCAGCACAGAGATATAATTGTCAATTCAAATCCAAGATTAGAAGAGGTAGTGAAGGTATAAGGAGTAATCCGAAAGGTTACGATTAGAAGATATTCAAGAAATATGGTTCAGTGAGAAAAGTTTAGAAATTCAAAACTAGAGGGGTTGAGTAATCCAGAAGATTTAGGATTTGAGAGAACACAGAGAATAAATGCACCGGCGCCACTGCAAACGGTTTTGAGCCATGTCATTCAAGGTCTCTAACCATCGATTATTATCATCTCGCGGACCCCAACCAGGTAGTCGACAACTGCCGACATGACTCAGTCCACTTGTCAATGACTTCATGTAGTGCTGCCATGTTTTGGTTTGGCCTCCCCTAACTTTCTTCCAACCTACTTCTACACTACAAAACAAAACTCGTCGAGGCAGTCGGTGGTTAGGCATACGTAACACATGTCCCAACCACCTCAATATAGGTAGGTAGTATCAGTATTGGTAATAGAAAAGATTAGCAATCAAAAATAGGAATCCAGAAGTTACAAACCTGTGAAATAAATTTACAAATGACGTGAAATGTCACTTGAAATTCTGAATATTCTGTACTTGACTGAAGAAAAAAAAATGGATTCACTAAGGCTATTGCTAGTGATTTTGAACGATATCATTATTCAAAGCCTTGCGGGCTTCAACCTGATAGTCTACGTCTGCTAACATAGCTCAGTTTCACTGTCATTGACTTTATGGACTAGTGCCGTGTTATGGTTTGACCACCCGTAGCTTTCTTCCAACCAACTCATACATACATTCGACAACATCTCTGTCTAGTTGTGTGATAACATTCATTTTAACGGCGAATAGATTTTCAGAAGAAAAAAAACGTCAGACCATTCACTGGTCGATTAAAAATAATTATATTTAACTAAAATTAAAACTATTATATGTTAAATGTTCAACCGGTAGTAGTGTGGTGTGAGCTACTTATAAGTAGTATATGACGTGAGTGTCAACGTAATGTCTGGCAGCAGAAGATGGGGGAAGATCAAGAAATGAAGAGTTGGGAACACAATGGAATTTGTATGAAACGCATGAACAGTCACATTGGATTGATTTTTTGCAGCAGAAACAGTCCAGTTCGATATGATGAACTGATATTTTGCAAATTAATGATTTACGATATGGTTTTCCAATTTTACTGAGTAACTCTGTAATTTCGCTAAATACAATCCGCCTGCCCCACCTGTGTTCTCCTTTCACTACATTACTACTATGATCAACTTTTTTGCATAACAAATTAGTATTGTTCATGATTAATAACAGTAAAAATTGAAGTTTATAGGCGAACCAGTGTGTCAGCTTCGCTCATAATCGTTTATCCAAAAGTCTATATTATTGGGTCTCTTGCTCTTGTATATATATCCTCATTAACAAACATAATAACTAATCAATGTATCATTTTATTTTACTACATAATATTTCTAGTTTCACAAATGTGCTTGTGCATTACAAAACAACATGAATCACAGTGTTTCTACACTGAACATACCGGATGTAACAAAACCTGGTGAATGTGATTTACATTGTCATACACTTGTTCCATTTGTAATTCTGTTAACATTTTTATTATTCCTCACTGGTGTTATACAAAATCCATTATTAATGGTAACAATGCGATCGGTTGATCATAATCAACGTTCTTTTGCTTTGGGTCTACAATTTACCATTGTACGTTTGTTAGCTAATTTACCATCACCTATTGTATATGGTCGTGTAATTGATGGTGCATGTCGATTTTGGCGTACAGAATGTGGTCGTCTTGGTGATTGTGCATTTGTAGATGTACAATATTTAAATTTATATATAACTGGTAAGTTGGTTGAATCAATTAAGAAATTTTATTTTGACAAAATATTTCTTTTATCAATGTGATTAGCATTTTATGGCCATTTTATGTGTCATTCTTTGGAAATACAATGAATCATATTTACTTACTTAGTTACTTACACCTGTGACTGCTAATGGAGCATAGGCCGCCGACCAGTATCATTCTCCAACCTACTCTGTCCTGGGCTTCTCTTTCCAGCTCTGTCCAATTGTTGTTCATTCTTCTCATGTCTGTCTCCATTTCTAAGCGTAATGTATTCTTTGGCCTTGAGGATCCTAAATGAGGCCTTTTCTTATGACGCAAACGGATGTGTTCCTCAATGTGTGTTCTATCAACCTCCTGCACTTCTTCCTGATTTCCTCCTCCACTGGAATCTGGGTTTTTCTTTCCCACAGTAGCTTACTACTGATGGTGTCCGTCCAACGGCATCCTAAGTATCCTACGTAGACGACTGTTAATAAATACTTGTGATCTTACAGATGAATGGCCTTCGTGGTTCTTCAAGTTTCCCCCCCCCCATATAGTAAAAGTATCTTAACATTTATATTGGAAATCGTGCCTTTGGTGTTTGTTGCTGTTGTGTTCGTCAATTAGGTATGTAGTGCCTCCACATATATTTCACTTCTCTCACATCTAACTTGGTTAAGCCCTTTCGATTAATTTATTTAACCAAGCCATTTGTATCGCAACAACTCATATGTACCATTGGTATTTTTTATTATCTGGTTTGTATGAGCTAGTATGACTGAGCATTGCTTAACGCCTACGCACATATGCATCCTATTCGCTTTAATATTAATCTCTTAAATACCACGATGACTCAGACATTTTCCTTTGTATATATACGAACATTTTAATCTTATTAATTCATTCGCACACATTCGCATATTCGCTCGCCAGTCTGTCTGCCCGGTCTGTCTGTGGTCTGCTATTATTAATTGTGGTGTGCTTCAATAAACGTATACGCTACTTGGGATTCATCTTCTGATTTATTAACCGTCAGACGTCATTTGGATAAGGTAGTCTGAACGAGCTTATTACGAAACGTAAGAACACGCCCGAATCGGCACACTACAGGTACACTTGAAGCTATTACAAGTTCACCATAGTCGATAAACGCGAACGAGACAATTACCAGCGTCCAGATAGGCTACCTTGATTCCCAAGCTGTAAACAGAAGTCTTGATAAGCGTAAAAAGTTTATTCTACAAACACCCAGCAATCATACAGTACAATCAAGCACACAACTCTCGTTTATTTATACATCGTAGAAACGTCCTTGGGACAGTTGCGTAAATAGCACACTAAAATACACAGCAGCCAATCACAGCCATGGATTTTGCTGGTGGGAAATGATATCTCAAAGTCAACTGATCAGCCCATGCTGGCAAACGTGCAATCCAAAATAAGGCATTTATCAATCGAGTTCTGGGTTTATCTAACATCCACAACAGTCGCTGGTTTTTGTTGTTGTTCTAGATTTTTTAATTACTTTATTGCATTTCCTTTTATCATTTCAGGCCTTGGATTGGTTGTCAAAGGCTCAGGCCTTTTTCTCTATTTTTTTCTACTCTACTTTCTACATACTAACGAATCCGCCGCCGATCATACAACGAATAACAACAACAATAATCATGGTTTAACCAATGAACCGATATGTTTACCTGGTGAATTATCCAATTCAGATGTACCAACAATTATTGTTACGCATTCAAAACTTTGACACAATCACTCACTACTGTACATATAATGCATATATATATATACATTTGTAAAAAAGATAAAAGAATTTATACCTGATGATATTCTTTGCCTTACTGATTGATTGACACTGACTGACAAACTCTGTCCTCCTCCTATTTTTGACATGTCACACTACCAAACTAACTACTGACTACTTTGATGATGATCGTGATCATCATCATCATCATCATCATTGTACAAAATTGTCGATGTCCTCCTGTTTAACTGCCCCTGAGCCCCCCCCCCCGCTAACTCTTTTCACCTGAGCATAGATTTTGTATGATGAAACAATGTGAAATAGATTTTCTGATGAAAAAAAAAACACACACACTATACACAATACTATTTTATGCATACAATAAGGAAGTTCTTTCTCTACACTGTGTGTGTGTGTACTATTTTTATCTTTTATTTATTACTTTTTTTTCGTGATTGCTAAATCTTATTTCGCCTACTTTTGTTGTTATTGTTGCTCTATTTTATATATATATACAGATGAAGAATAGTGTTCTTTCTTTTTCGTGGCATTTGTAATTATTTTTATGTACTACAACAACAACTACTACTAGACTGTATACACTACTGTTCAACAAACTTTTGTACAATAAATTGAGTGAAAAAAAATTACCCCCCAATGTACACTGCTGCTGTTCTATAGAAAAGAGATGATGTCGATTATGTTGATGTTGATAGGATTTTCATTAAAATTAGGCTAACACACACACTATTCTAATGGATAGTGAAAACACACAATCAAAATGAAATGGTTGCTGATGCTGCTGCTGCTGCTGCCGCCGCCTAAGATGATCGATCGAGATGAATTCAGTTTATTCATTCACATTGTTATTTTTTTACACTAGTATGATGATGATGACGATGATGATCTTTCTATTTAATTACTTATTATTATTATTATTATTATTGACAAGGAAGAATAAGATGAATTCTTTCTTTCTGTTCAACGCTTTCATCCTTTGTTTCTTCCCTTCTTCCTTAGTTCCTTCCTTCATTCGTTCGTTAATGTATATTTTAGTGTTATGAATTGTTGAAACATTTATTTGACTACCATACACAATAAAACAAGATGGTTGCTAAATTTTTTTTTATGCTGACCAATTTTTTTGATCGAAATTTTCATGTATAAGAATGATATGTAAAGTTAAAATGAAAAAAGAGCAATCAATTTGAATATATATCATCTTTTTTTTTTATTGGATTGACGTTTATTTTCATTATGTTTATAACGAAAAGAATTTGTATGAATCCAGAAGAGTTGAATCGATCGATCAGTGAGTGATCAATTGTCAATTTTGTTATATATTCAATCGACTTAATTGAATTGGGAAAAAAAACGCCTAGTTTAAATTGCTTATCGTTTAAATCAACATACACTCATATATATATATATATTTATAAATCGCGTTTACTGTAGATGCTTAGAGTTGCTGATCTGATGAATACAACATTTGAGATGGTGGAGAAAACTTGTAGCTCAGTTGGATGATTGTGGTGGTGTTTCGTTCTCTGAGCTGGATGTTTAGGGTTGTGGAGCTTTCATTGTTCTTCTACTGAACAATATCATCATCATCAGCACAAACTTCTTCAGATAGTAGTGAAGCATTCGAATTTCTGCATGTTTGACACGTTTAAGGTCAACGGCAACCAATCAAGATGGAGGTTAACAGAACAAGCTACAGGACAAACATGGAGAAATTCGAATGCTTGACTTCTATCTGAAGTTTGTGCTACTGATGATGTTGTTCAGAAGAACAATGAAAGCTCCACAACCAGCTCAGAGAACGAAACACCACGACGAATACAACATTTTTACTCTTAGGTCAACTCTACCCTCACTAATTTGTTTTCATTCAGTCAATCGGATAGATAACTATTTTTTTGTAAACACTTTACATTTATACTTGTTACTTTTCTGTTACCAAAAAAACAATATACACATGGTCTAATTTGTAGTCAGTCAAAATATATACAGAACATCTGAAATCTTATTGGTAGCTGCTTTATTTAGTCAGTGTTTCATTGTTTCACAATGAAAATATATTATGGAGGACGTACTTGCTAATCAGAATGGAAAGTAAGAATTTTAGATTTTGTTTGAAATTTATGTTAAATTATACATTAACACGGTTAGATACCGGCTCAGTGGTCCAGAGGTTAGGCGTTCGTGCGCAAGACCGAAAGTACTGGGTCGGAATCCTGCGATGTGCAGGAGTTGTGAATGCGCACTGCTGATGAATCCCATACCAGCGGACGAAACGGCCTTCCAGTGCTTCCAGGTTTCTAATAGTGGTCTAACAACATTGATCAATTCATGATTTCAAATATATAGAGAATAATAGAAATGATCTTTCTATGCTGCTGATAACGTTTAAACCTGTTAAAATGAGTGTTAAATAGATCAGGTGCTCAATTAAATCTCCTATACACTCTATAGAAAACAAATCGAAACGGTTCATAAATCATAACCGTCAATTTTGAAACAAACATTGATTTAGTTTTACTCTGTTCTATAAATGGACTACTAATCAGTTAATGTACTTTGGATTTCTGCTGAGAATTCATTCATCCATATGGCGGCTACAGAATGATCTTGTCATGTAGCTGATGTCATATTTTATCATGAAAACAATAAATTTAAATCCCTTAATCCTAACTTTGAATACCTTACCTGAATTAGGAATAATAGTAAAGATACTCGTAAAAATCTGTCTGTGTGTTCCTTTAATCCTTCTAGAAAACGGACATTCTAACTTGATGAGAATAAAATTATACTTTGTTACTTTTTTTTATTTACAGCTTGAGTAATCTGTAAAAAAAAGCCCTAAACCAATTCACTAATTATGTGAAATTTGTGTACAGCTTGTAACATTGTTTTCTTGTTTACAAAAACGTTTGTAAATGGCTAAAGACTACATGAAAATTCGTTATGGTTTTTTGTACTCTCATCCGTATACTGTACATTCTACTGGTTATCAAATTCTCAGAAAGTCACAGTCGCACAAAAAATATAACGATACTGAAAGTGTTATCATAGAAATTATATCATGTAGCTTGATAATTATTTTTTATTACGTATTAGATAATTTTCGTCACATTAAACACATACAAAAGTCATAGATCTTATTGATGTATCTGTAGCACAGTAGTATTATCACATGAGTCAGTGTGTCAACAACAACAACATAGAACTTCTTGTATACATATATCAGTTCAAATTACCATACCACATTGGCACAGAGTTGTAATTGTCATTTTAAATGCCATAGTAGTAGAGCTAGTAGAAGTAATAGCAGTAATCAAACGGATTAGAGTTCAAAGATATTATTCAAGAAGTAGAATCTAGTGAAATAAACTTAAAAAGAAAGAGAAGGATAAAGGTGATGAAGATAAAAAATTTGAGAGAACACAGGCAGTGGATGCACCTGCGCAATTGCAAGCGATTTTGAGCCATGTCGTTCAAGGTCTCTAACCACCGGAGACTTTCGTCTCGCAGATTCCAATCAGGTAGACAACACCTACTAACATGACTTAGTTCACTTGTCTCAAACTTTATGGATTTGTGCCATGTTTCGGTTTAGCCTGTTCTAGCTTTCTTCCAACCTATTCCTGCACCACAAAATATAGCTCATTGAGGTAGTCGGTGGTTAGGTATACGCAACAAATGTCCCAACCACCTCAACTGGTGAAGTTCCTAGACTTCATCTATTGACCTACCATCCTTACCGAGGATGCTTACTCTGTTGTCCCACGATACACGAGCAATGTTTTGGAGACACCTACGGTCGAAAACCAGTAACTTAGGAATATCTTCTACTCTGACTGGCCATGATTCGCTGCCGTAAAAGCACACAAGATCGAATCAGTCAGAATCTAATTATCACATTAGGAAGTATTTGTCTAGTTAGATATGATATATTTGGTCGGAATGAAGTTTGTTGACATTTTTGGACAATCCAATCTCTTATTACTTTGTGCTACAATGATTCCTAGAAATCTCATCAACATACTTTGTTAACGTAATTGACTGATCACTGAAATATTGGTACATAGTTTTCAATTGTTCATATACACATACCTTCCTCTATTTTTTTTATACTGAAATGGTGATCGTTACGTTATTGTTAGTTTCTATTCATACAGTCCTTACATGTTGTTCAGATAGCATATTTCTATCATTAGTGTTACACTATATAAGCCTCAAAGGAAGTGAACAACAAAGTCCTTTTCTTTCGGGAAGAAAAATAATGATGGAGTGACAGTGTTACAGGTCAAATGATATCGTATATCCTGGGACACCCGAGTGAGCAACGCTGTTATTAGGAAACGGGTGCTAGGTAAGAATGGCAGATCAATAGATGAAGTAGTGAAACTTCATCAGTTGAGGTGGTTGGGACATGTGCTGCGTATGCCTAACCACCGACTGCCTCGACGAGCTATGTTTTGTAGTGTGGGAATAGGTTGGAAGAAAGTTAGGGGCGGCCAAACCAAAACATAGCAGAAATCCATGAAGTCATTGACAAGTGGACTGAGTCGTGTCGGTAATTGTCGACTAACTGGTTGGGGTCCGTGAGATGATAATAATCGATGGTTAGAGACCCTGAATGACATGGCTCAAAACCGTTTGCAATGGCGCCGGTGCATTTATTCTTTGTGTTCTCTCAAATCCCTAATCTTCTGGATTCTTGAACCCCTCTAGTTTTGAATTTCTAAACTTTTCTCACTGAATCACATTTCTTGAATAATATCTTCCAATCCTAACCTTTCCGATTACTTCTAATACCTTTACTACCTCTTCTACTATTAGATTTGAATTGACAATTATATCTGTGTGGTGATGTGGTATGGCAACATGAACTGATGTACTTACGTACGAAGTTCTACGTTGCAATTGACTGACTGACTGACTATTCAGCTTATGTGATTCTGTGACAAACATCTATACCCCTGCTATTTTTTCTGTTCGTAGAATTGTGCAGGGATTTGTTGAAAGGGACTCTGTTAGCAATTTATTTTAACAACTTTTATCAACGTATTTCTTGTTAAAATAGTGCTGATTAACCACTATGGAACATACAATGTACAAAATATGAAGAAAAGTCAATAATTCCACTTTCCTTAGTATTTATTTACATTTGACAGTACTCAATCTCATCCCTTATCATCTGATTACTATATCTTATGTTATCTGGTATTTAGCGCTTGTATAATTTTATACATAACTCATTAGCGTAGTAAAAGTACGTACACTCGTATAAACTGTACATCTCATTTATGATCAACTGATTTCTGCGTTTTTTTCTATGTGAGGAGATTCATCAGTTTGATTCTTCTGTTATTTAAATGCAATCCCATACAATAATACTATGTCTGATTGAAATTCAGTCAAAAAAATATCAGTAACGCGATCGTTTGAAATTCAATTGAATGATTCAATAAATGCAAGTGTATTTTTTAAGCCAATAACTCACCTCTGTTTATTAATGTATATCTCTAGGTATTAATACTCATAGATTATATAATAGAATATCAGGTAAGCATAACTTAACTTACAAGTATTGATGAACAGTTGTCTACTCAAAATACTGAGGATTCGTTGACCAGACATGATCAGCAACAACTTACTGTGTGAGAGAACAAACCAGATTCCGATGAAGGAGGAAATCAGGAAGAAGCGGTGGAAGTGGATTGGACACACCACGGAGTGCACCCAACTGCTTCACAGGACAAGCCCTCTCATGGAACCCTTAAGGCAAAAGGAAAACAGGAAGTCCAAGGAACACATTACACCGAGAAATAGTGAAAGATATGAGAGGAATGAACAAAAACTGGAAAGGGAAGTCCAGGACAGAGTTGGTTGGAGAAAACTGGTGTGCGGCCTATTCTCCATTGGGGGTAACAGGCGTAAGTAAAGTAAAGTATAATTTAACTGTACATTTTAAAGTATTATAATCATATTACCTACCATATGACAACAATAACACGTGTACAGAACTCTTTATGCAATGTAAATATCTTGATAATCTTTTTTGTTTTAAAAATAAAAAATATAACAAACTATAATAATTCTCTTTTTTCTTCTCATTTCTATGCAAACTCTTTTTCTTTTTCATTCAACTGATTTTAAATCACTCATTGTAAACAGTTTTCCTTGAATTCGCTTCAATT